GGTTCCACTTCCAAGGTTTCTGGCCGATTAGGTCGATCATATAGTTCTGTAATATAATTTTCCCAAATTTTCAGCACTTGCCTCTGATATACTATTCTATTCCCCTGGGAGCCTTCGATGCCAATATTTTGAATCCCATGGTTCTCTTTCCATCCTAGTTCTTTTGTCTTCATGTAAATCAAAATAAGGACAATAAAATTAATTAATATTCTTAACCAATTCATTGTCACACTCCCCTACTGGGATTTTACCGGCTGCTACCGAATTTTTAGTGTACTATATTCAAAATGTAAGAGAAGACATGAAAACTACCAATAATCGCTGTATCTTTTGACACTTCCAAACTTCATGTATTTTTTATTGTATAAAAAATTACTGTAAGTACAGAAAAGTCCTAGGCAATGCCCATTCAGCCTTCTGTAGCACATTCTTATAAACATTTTTTTCTATAATAGCGGTCACACTGTGATTCTTAATATAGAGCTTAACTTAAATCTGAGAGTATTCTGTTAATAATCAGTACAATTGTGAATGGAGTTCATGGAGGTAGGCCTAGGCCCACTGGGGCTGTAGTGCCAAGGGGAGAAAAAAATCAGTACAATTACTTCTTTTAGTTTACTTACATATCTATTTTATACAAATAAAAAAATAAAAATACAAAAATTTGGGCCATCTGTAGGAGAAAATGGCTTTTATGTAGACAGTGGCAAAAGACCGTTACTTGATGGAATCAGGGCTGGAATGTGGTAGACTTCACCCTGTCAGCTGACAAGATTAGCTGTGAATATGTTAACAGATGTAACTTCTGAACAAGCTTCAAAGCATCCTGTACTTGTGGAAGAAGAAGAAATTAACATTTTTAATCCACCTAAATGTACGTGTATAAATGACTGTATGGTTACCTGGAATTTTGTTAATGAGTGTTTGAAATACAGTAGCAGAGGTGATTGTGGTAATGGCTATGGAGATTTTGGTAGTTGCAATGGTGGACACTGAGTTGATTGAGATAATGTAGGTTATGGGGTTCATGGAGTTATGATGACAGGGACATATTTATGGTGGCAGTGGCAATTATGATGGTAATTATGGTGGTTGTGGTGGTTACTGGCAGTAATATAATTAATTCTGTGGGAAGTGGACCTACTTTCTGCCTGTCCTCTTGCTGTGTCATTGGCCGCCTTCGTGGGCTGCTGGGGCTAGAAGCTGCCTGCAGCACTATCTCCTCAACATTGGAAGCTGCATAACCGGAGTCATTATTGCCATTGGGGTCAGGCACAGCTGCAGCTGGGGAAGCGAGCCTGGCCACAACACTGTGACAGAAATATGTCTTATGTCAGCTCACTGCCCTACCACAATACAGACACAATGCATTTTATTCTGTTTAAGTGTCCTATTCTGATTACAGACTGGAAGATAATATTAAAATGGGCATTATAGAAATAGGATGTGGGGATGTGGACTGGATTCATATGGCTCAGGACAGGGACCAGTGTTGGGGCTAAAGAAAACATGGTAATGAACCTATGGGTTCCATTCAATGCTGGGATTTCTACAGTGGATGAGCACACCACTTACTTCTCAAGGACTCAGCTCGATTGTGTAAATTATTCCGATTTATTAAAATTATTCTAATATCACATTTTATAATAACCAGAAACTACTGTATGCATGTTTCCTGTAACAATTTGATGATATAATTACAAATATTATATTCCATATAGGCATGCGATCAATCTTGATGGACTGCTTTTCCACAATGTGGTGACATCTATCCAAGAAATAAGAAACTTAAGAGAAAACAAATGAAAATGACAAGTGTCACAGGCAGATAATACAGAGCCCCTCTCCCCTATGGTAAAATATTGGCACACAATTATTATAAATTTTGTGGCAGATTAAACTAGTTGAGGCAGGTTTCCTTTAACGTATTTCATTTTCCTTTGTCGTCTTTCTACCATACCACCAATAAGAAGTTATAACCAACGTAAAGTTGGAAGCTGGTACAGTATATTTAAAATATAAATAAGAAATATATGGACTTCAAGGCAATCTGTAGGCTTCTTTCACAAAAGAGTTTTGCATATTCTTCAAATGCATCAGCCACATTTTCCTGAAGACATTCTGGTGACACTCTCCTTAGAGAAGAGAACATTTTGTGATAATTCTAACTAGATTCAAGTAATTAAAAATATTTCAGTCAATTTCTACAGAACCAATTGAGAAATATATGTTATCTGGTATACTAATTGGATAACATTTTGTTTTGTGACAAGAATTCCCTCCAAACCATAAAATTTTACTCGATAATTTAGATATTTGTAATTCACCAGATTCTATTTTCAGCATATGGTGGGAATGGAAATCCCTATCACTGAACTTATGGGACTTCCTCCCATTATATTGCTTACTAAAAGTATGACTTGCCCTCAGAGATGTTTTAGGTAGATTTTTGAAGAAGATTTTTAAAATAAAAAGATTAGTTTTTATTATCTGGCTTCATCAACACAATTACTTGCATAGGTGAACCACATGTTATTGTGACATGATGCCTGGAAGCCAGAATAACGGAGCCACCAGACGTCCGCTGATGAGCAATGACTATTTTTTTATTGCTAGTGAGGTGGGACTAAGTCCCTTGTACTGCGGCCACTTCTGGCCTATTGTACCAGCCCCAGATGATAGGTGAAGGTGACTGTGGAGCAATTAGTGGAATAAAGATTGGCAGGGGAAACCGAAGTATTCGGAGGAAACCTGTCCCAGCACCACTTTGTCCACCACAAATCCCACTTGAACAGACCCAGGATCGAACCCGGGCCGCCGCAGTGGAAATCCAGTAACTAACCGCTTGAGCTATGGCACAGCCAAGCAATGACTGAGTAAACATTAAGCTTCCATTACAATGGCTAGTTAGAACATGTTTCCACGGCAATGAATACGCTGGTATAAATCAAAGCTTTGCCCGGAGATTGTCACACGTTTTCATGGCAATGTATGGAACAGAGATTAACAGAGAACAATCAGCTGTTCTACTTGGCTATCTATATTTAGTCCGCATGAAGTTCGTTCAGTCCAAGATTCAGAGATCCAGATAGAGAATTCAAGAGACTAGAGACTCTTCAGGATGCATCGTTCAAGGATTCAATAGCTCAACGGTTAACCATATAAGGTGCATTACCAAGCAACGACTAAACAAGCAAACGCTGAATGCTTTATTTTATGTATTATAGCTGCAGTAATCTTTAGAGTATTATGATTATTTGTAGTTACGACTTATGAATATCCCATAAATCGACTCACCAATCCAAACCCCAGCTACAAGTCACTAAAACACGTGACACTATAAATTTATTACATGTTTCAGCCTTTCAGCCATCATCAGGTATTAACCCAATTTTACACTGCCCTTCATCAGCTGCTCTTCCTTACACTTGAAACGTGAAAAGGTCTTGAAGACCGAAATTTGGTTCTTGGGTGGGAAGTACCAACTCAAAGAGACTATCACAAATATATCAAATGAATATGTATATATATATTAAATAACAAATACAACCTAAGTACCTGGAGGTAATAAGCCTCCGACAATCACAATCGTACCGACCAGAAAAGGTGAATTGACTGCACAGTTCAGGGTCCCACAACAGAATGGATCACTCGCGTTGGACCTGGGCCGATGAGAACCAGGAAGTGGAACATTGGAAGGGGTAAGTAGTAAGAAAGAGGGTGGGGGGCGCCCTCTGACATAACGTAGACCCGGCGTTACACACTGGCTAAAGTTTTTATCTGGGAATAATTTTTTCTAGTTGTTGTACGCTGATATACTATCTTGTGTAGTCTCTCTGTTAAAATCAAACCCTCTGTCCTAATATCAGTAAGGACTCACACAGACTCTTCTGCTACTGTAGCCAGTATGAATTCCGTCGACTTATCATTTGGAATGATATGACAGTCGTCTGACCCAGGTGATCGCTCTCCGTCCTTCTCAACTTCTTCTTCTTCTTCCTGCAACCATACAATGCGTAGTTTTGTACATATGTTCCAACATTCTGGAGGAATATATTTACCAAACTACATGGAGTCTCGTCTAGAAGAACAGAGTGGGGGAACAGTCAGTGATAAGAGAAGAGGGGCAAAGGACTGTGGCTAAGAGTGAACCAATGGTTGCCCCAGTTTTTTGTTCCCCCTCCCCTGTATAATTTAATTTTCATGGCCAGTGATTAGATCTCCTTCATAGCAACTTGTTTTGATAAAGAAAAACTAATGGTACTACTAAGACTAATTATGAAAGCCATAAGCATATTCTACACCTTCTCAACAGATTCATGTGAGCCATCAGCTTCACACACTGGCTGCCTTTACACTAAGGGAAAGGAAGGCTGGTGCAACACCACAGAAGAAATTAGGTGACCATCTGAGGTAGATGGATTTTTAGTACAGCACATTTTGAAAAACCTTTTTCTTATCATTTGCTTTTGTTAAATAAAAATTAATTTTTGTTGATAATTTGTTCATACTGAGACAATTACTGGCTAGTAACCTAAACGTGTCATGCAGCAAAGTAAATGAAACTGTTTTAAGAATTCTGACACCAACAGTGGTCTGGGAATTTGATGTTACTGTGACAAAGTTTGGAGAAAATTGATACAGGTATATTTTTACCATTTACCATTGTTTTGGACAGCATTTAGATCTGCTCTGGTCCACAAGGTAAGAGTTCAAGTATCCACTATACAAAAAGCTTGGTGATCCATCATACTTCAAACTTCTGTTTAATTCTGTGCATTCTACAGAACACGATGTAATACTGAACAAGCGGTGGGTCTCCACAGTAATACAATAACTGGCATTTGATAAAGCTCTGTAACTGATGGAGCTCTGCCCCTTGACATCCGCTTTGGTTCATTTTGAATTCTAATCCGTTTAAATCACAAGGTCCCTGTGGAATACCTGACTACCGCTTCCTGTGTTGGTGGGGCGTTCCTCCTCCATTCCTGATGAAGGCGCCATCAGAGTCGGTCCCAGTGTGGTCTCGGCCAACCGTCGGGTTTGAGCGATGTTCTCTATCACTGACCCTGGCTTGATATCCGCCAGGTTCGGCTTCCTTGCTGCTTTGGCCTTTCGCGCCCGATTCCTTAGCGCCTGAAACATGATGTGGAATATAGAATCGCTGTTAGGCAATGGCCGAAAAATAAGCAAAATTATAACAGCTGTTGCTAAGTAATGGCTCGGCATACAACGGTAATTACTAGGCAGCTGCTCATAAAGAACATGAGAGAAACGGTGTTTTCTATGCGGTTCGTGCCGAGATGTTATAAGCAGGTCCAGTTAGCTGCTGCAGTCAGTCAGCTAATGCGTTAAAAGTCTGCTGGGACTCAGTTGTTCTGATCTGTTGCTGTTAGAAGCTGTAACTGTCGCCGTGGATAGTTCGGGAACACAGAGGGTCCGCCATTGGAAACCGCTACCCAGCAAAGGCTAGTGAATACTGTAACAGACTGAAAAGACCTAGTGTGTAACAGTGACGGCATAATCCTTACTCGTAGTTACAAATTGCAGTGTGCAGTAAATCCGGCCATCAGTTCAAAACCCGTCTATAGTCACTCTATCACGTGACAATATAATAGCCACGACTACCACAGACAACCATCATAATGTGAGGTATAAACCATAAAGTAACGGTAAAGGTATCCCCGTGCTTAACCAATTATCGCGACATGAAGTCACATGGGGGTATGGGAGTATTGTCCCGCGCATTCTTAACATCGGCACTGAATCGAAGTGTGTGGCCAGCTTCACGCCTCCAGCGCTTTACACCCGAGGAAACAGCTACCGGTACCTACCGGCTGGGAGGCTGGATGTGTCACCACAGTCGGTCCGGGTGTGCCCCAAAGCCGGTCTGCGTATTGTGAACAAAAGTCTCTTGCCTCTTCCGGGAACAGAACCTCGATTCCTCTGTCATTCATAATATTCACAACGGCATTTTAAATATGAGTCTTTTCCCTTAAGGCCCTCTGCATAAATACTGGATACATTTCTTGTCTTTCCCGTATGTGGTACATGTTTCCCTCGGCTCGCCATTGAACTAGGTACGAGGGTTGGAACTTTAATAGTGGCAACACTGCTGTAAAGACGCCATGCAACGGAACCAAATAATGTCGCTTATACCACACGTTAGTTACATACCTACCTTACCTCAGAGCAAATGGACTCTCTTTTCCCACATCACGCGCATGCGCAGTGACAAGAACAACAGAGCCTCGTGTTAGCTGGCGGTCTAATGTAGTGCTGTCACGATGTTTTCGAAACAGGAACAACAGAGTTGGATAAAGATTGAATGTGCCAGAGGCCGTACAGCACGACAGTGTCATCAAGGTCTTCAAGAGGCTTGCGGGGAATCTGCATTGCCTTACAGAACAGTGGCAAGATGGTCAACGAGGGACGCCAGAATGTGGCAGACACGAGTCGGCCAGGTCGTCCTAGTGTCAGTGAAGAAGTGTATGCTTTCCGCGTTACTGGAGAGTGATCGACGCCATACGATTCGTGAGCTGGCCCGAGAGACAGGATTAGCGCATACGACTGTGCTTCACATTCTGAAGGAAGGCCTGGGCATGAGAAAAATTGCATCACGATGGGTTCCGCAGGATTTGACGGAAATGCAGAAATGGCTACGATACGACGCTGCTCGTAACCACTTGGGGAGCTATTAGCACGAAGGAGAGGCTTTTTTACGACGTATCATTATGCTGGATGAGACATGGGCCAAATCGTACGAGCCACAAATGAAACGCCAATCGAACGAATGGCGTCATTACGGGTCACCACGAAAATCAAAAGTTCGTCAGAACCCCAGCAATGTGAAAGTTATGGTGATTCTCGTGTACGACTGTGATGGTGTTATCCTAACGCGTACCGTTCCCCGACAGCAGACCGTCAATGCGCAGTATTACTGTTCATTTTTGGAACACAACCTGCGACCAGCTTTGAGAAAGAAGCGGTGACACTTTCTGCAGAACCCACCCATCATTTTGCAGGCCAATGCTTGGCCGCATGCAGCGCAAGCTGTGGCTGATTTGTTCGATCGATGGGGCTGGGAAGTGCTGTACCATCCACCATACTCCCCGGACTTAAGCTCTTGTGACTTCGACTTGATTTCTAAGATGAAGGAACCACTTCGTGGCATTCGCTTCAGAACTGTTCCAAAAATTCTTCAGGCAGTAGACCGCTCCATTCGAACTATCAACACGACAGGCGCTGCTAAAGGTATCCTACGACTTCCACATCGCTGGCAACGGGTTGTACACAATGCTGGTGACTACACTGAAGGACAGTAAAACTTCGAAACATGCATCTATTTTGTATCAGTTGTAAATAAATAGTTGCCACTATTAAAGTTCCAACCCTCGTATGAACGTCATGCTACCTGAACCTATCTCATCGACAAAAACAAACTCCGCGGTCCGTAGTCCACAGGCGAACTATACCGGCCGAGAGACCGCCGCTTGCCGGCGAAGTTAGTGCCAGCTTTCGCGGTTACAGTGTCGCGTGGTCAGCGCAACGGATTCCCACGCCCGTTAATCTCGGTTTTCTAGACCGGAGCTGCTATTTCCTTGAAATAACTCTCAATTATCCTCAAGAGGCTGAGTGGACCCCGTTCCAGACCCAACACTTCTCAGAAAATCGGTAGCGCCGGGAATCGAACACAAGACATCTGGACCTGTAGGCAGGAACTGTGACCACTAGACCACAGAGGCGATCCCCTAACTCATCGACATACGAGTGTGCCAGAAGTTCTCCCCATCGGCAGTACCAACAGTGCAGTCCCTCAAATGGTCGAGGTAATAATTTCAACATTTCTTGAACGCCTACACCAATCGTCGTGAAACTTAGTATGGATTTCAAGCCAAGACGCAACCCGCCCTTCAGTTACACAAGGCATCCAATTTTCTGCAGTCATCGTCAGCTTCCCGTAGCGCACTCTGTTCTGACGAGGCTCTGGCAACAATTCTACCGCTTGAAATTAATTTAATACATGCGAAATTCTGGTTGTACAAAAACTGAGTTTATAATACTCTTTTACTGACTTACTTCCGCATACGTAATAAAGTTTTATCTCATTTGTCGTGCCGAATATATTCATTTTGTAGCGAAGTGAAAGTAGGCGACTAGTTCTTCCCAGAATTTCCAGTTGTTATCTACCGGAACATACCACACAGCTAGAGACGTTTTATGCACAATTCTGGTCGTGACCTAATCCTTATACAAACTCAACACAAGCAGCCATATTTCATACACTCGTATTTCTCGAAAATTTGTGTGACTTATGACAGAAACATATCTGTGCCAGCGGTACGTTTAAGCTATGGCGTCTGCTGTAGAAACTAGGACTACGTTATAAATCCCCTCGGAATCATATCCAGGTAAAAGTTTTGACTCTGCCTACATTTTATATGAACTTAATTTTACAGTCTTTGTAACTCTCGTCTTTCTTTTTGCAGTTGACGAATGTCACCATTTATTTACTGTCTTCGACCACGAAAGTCTCCACAAACTCTTTCAGTATCAATAATTTTGCACACAGCAAAGAACCAGACCCAAGACGGTATTCCTTTGTTACGTTTCAAATGGAGCCTCAATTTCTATGCTTATATGCTTCTCAAGAGTCTTTTCTCTAAGGTAATTTCTCCCCACCCACTTCCCCACATTCAGAGCAATCCTATTGGTCAGAATTGCTGGAAAATTTACTTTAATTTCCCTTTAATACATAGTCTTTCAGTGTAGATGAAAGAAAGAGTAAACGAACAAATGGTTCGATGAGTGTAGGCCTGTAAATGCGGATTGTTACGGTGGCAGCGGTGGGGGAACTTTTTGTTCTGGGCGCGTTCAAAGCAACAACAGGAACAGAGAACAAAACTTTGAGTCTCTGCTTTTGGATTTGCTGATTGGATTAGCTCCTTTAGACGCTAGTCATTTTGTTGTCTTCTCCTTCTATTCCATCTTCATTTTCTCCTCATTCTCTCTTCTCCCTGGTCTTCTCCTCTTCCTTCTCCAATGCCATAATCCGCACAGTTGTGAGTTCACGATCCGACAAGAGAAGGCCTATTGCGTTAGCAGAACACCATTTAGGCATGCTAATCAATCCATTTTTTATTGTCCTTCGCAACTCCACAGGTATTAACACACATTTACATATTTTTAAGAGTTTTGTTTATATTTTAATTCACTTCGAGAATTCTGTGCCCTAATACAAGCCCACACATTTTCTAATCTGACTTCATTTACAAACTCGGTCAGTGTATCATACGCAATCAGTCGTTAATCAAAGTTATGAGCCAGTAACTGATTCATGTCTTTTTATTTTCACAATTATTGGTTCCCTTTAAATTTTTCTGGTGTTATATGTGTAAGTCCAATAAAGCCCTGCATCCATTTAGGCAAAGAAAAGCTGAAATCAGAGAGCGTGTTGCCGTCGGTAAATTGTATTATTTTGTTTATAATAAACGGAATTTAATATTTCTCTTAAAATTGTCCAGATGTTCAATGCCAACTTTACAAATTAACGTGGCGATAATAACGAACTCACTAACAGCAAATTGTGATAAAACATGCAAACTTTCCCTCAAATTTAAACGGGTTTTGATTATGTTCAGAAATAGTTATATATAAAATACTCGTCTAAGCCTTGTACGAATAGAAAGAGCTCTTCTGTTGACGATAAAACCGATATTTTTCTGACAGGAAGGACGAACCTTAAATACAGTATGACAAGACAACGATAAAACTTCTTTAACAATGGAGAACAGTTATATGACGTCAACACGTTTCGATCTGATTTCCAGGAATAATACGAACATACGAACAAAAGAGAATCGTCTGTTGTTTGGTGTATTACTAGATGCAAAATTTATTATAAACTGAAATATTTTTACAACAAAATACTTCAATCTGTGTGAAGTCTAAAATCATTTTATTAAGTATGTCCTGAGAAGTGCATATGTCTAAAGTACGATATATGTTGTGCACATTTGGGTCGTTTTCATAGAACTTCGTGTCAAATATGTCTATGCGGCATAACGAACGATTCTACATGGACATAATGACCATAGATAATGTCATTACGGTTGTATGAGGCAAAGGAAAGTGTG